CAAGGGTCCACAAATTAAAAGATATTAAAGGACTCTGGTATCTATATATTTTTAAGATACCAGTAACTCAACATCACACCACGAAGTTTTATAAGCTATACACACAACTCACTCCATCTTTCTTTATACGAGCATCTCAAAAACTTCATCAAGCCTTTCAAGGCAAATTCTTAACACCCTTTCACCCTGAGCCCACCACGATTAGGAAAACACAACATTTAACCACATTAAACTGCAAACCTAGTCAGAGATCATACTGTAAAAGACAAGACCTAGAAAACAGATGTTATTGCTCCAGAGGGACTCCAGTCCCACTAGGCTAACACTTGGAAAAAGCAAACAGGTTGTGCTTAATGTAAACAATACATAAGAAGTGCTGTCTTAAAGAAGTAGTTATATTAACTGCTCCAGTTAAAATAACAAAGACATTTGAGAACACAAAACTTTATCAGAAATGAAGAGCAACTATCTCATGCAAGTGGGAAACAACTATTCTGAATTCAATTACATACCTATTAATTCTCTCACCCAAAAGGAAAGGAGTTTAGAGCCTCTAAAATGGAGACATGTCAGTGAGGAGTGCCTAGATATTGCTAGTGGAAAAACACAAGTAATTTACTGCCTACAAAACATGGCAAGTTATAGACTGTGTGTACACACAGGCAGGAAAGAAGGAGGGAGAGATAATATGTCATAATACAAATATTTTTAACCCATAGTGTTTGCTACCCAGTAGAATTATGTCTGTTAACTCCCAGGCTACTCTTTCAAGGGTGCTTAGAGGACAAATTGGCTAGATTTGCCAGACTGAAAGGCAAATAGCAGAAGATGTGATTGTTTCAGCTCCCACTGAGTCCAAATACCATTGCACCAAATATTCTATGCAATAACATCATTATTAATAAACAGAAAACTTTTCTTTGTTTTACCCACAGCCCATACAAAGATGACAATCACTATTGACACTGTGCCTGCAGTCATCATCCATTCCCTGTTGTTAAAGACTCTGCAAAAATCAAGGCGTTCAGCCACAGCTCTAGTAATGAGACCCAGAGAAAGTTCCTTCTGACAGCTTCACTCAACACACCATGTAACCTTTTCTAAAAAAACCAGAAAGTTGGATTTTGGTTTGCTTTTTTTTTTTTTCTTTTTAAACAGGCAGAACACTGCTACCTTCCCTCTGTTAGTAAGCCTCCAGAATGTCTGCTCTGTGCCTCTCCCAAAACTCATGCTTCTTGCTATGCCCGTCAGCAGTAGTCCTGTTAAGGTCTTCACAACAGCACATTGAAAAGGCATCTTCTTGGACTGAACTGCACAGAAGCTGAAGTCAGCCTTGTAAGTTAAATTGCAGAAGCTAAGTAGAGATGTTTATACAGACAGACATGCACAGAATGTGTGGTTTAGTGTCAGAGTGAATGCTGTGATCATTAGAAGAGCAAGAACATCCAGAAACTGGCATTTAAAACACCTAAATACGATCTCAATTGCATGTGCTTTGCTGTTCAGATACAGCTAAAGAAGAGAAAGTCTTGAAGTTACAGCTCACATTTCTTCTCCACCTCAAGCTTGCTCTGACCGTACTCTTGCAGATAAATGTATGAGAATGATGCACTGGTTTGATTAAGAAACAACATAACTTTAAGGGAAGATGAAGGCTTAGACAGCTGATTTCATATTCCCAACTTCCCTCCACTAGGGATTCTTTTTGAAAAAAACAAACAGCAAGCAAGTTAGCTTTTTAAAATTAATCAGTAAGAAAGCAATTGTTAGTATCCAGACTTCTGCACTATATCTGAGAGTTAAGGACCCCACTGCTTGTTACAGGCATGTTACAGTCCAGCATTGTTATTTCGGGTTTTCTGCAGAAAATACTACAGTGTCTGTAGCAGGTGCATTCATATTTTTAAGGTTATAAATGTAATAACATTAAAGGCAGGTGATTGTCTCTCTTAAGGAAGTTAGTTATGGATCTGAGAGAAGGACAAAGAGACAAAGGACTATTCGTCAGCACCGCTGAAATCAAATGTCACATGTGAAGAATTACTTCTTTTTCCTGAAATATCTCCCCCATCCAGCTGAAGTAAATGGTAGGATTTGCCTTCACTTAGCAGTTCCATCAACTTTCAGACGGAAATATTCTTAGCTAAATGAGTAGTGGCACATCTTTATGCATCAATAGCTTACATATTCACACCCACCTCATTTATTTGTCCTCCCAAACAGGAGTATGCTGTATCAGAACAAGGATTTATATTTAGTGATGCATGTACTCTAAAAGCATTCATTTTATTTATATGGAAAGCAACACCATCCTTCAGCATAAACATGTTCTGAGTAAGACGCAATGCACAAAAACACATGGGAATACAAAGCTTTCTACAAGAAAAATATTTGGGTACCTACTTTTTATATTTATATTCATGCCACATTTGAAACCTCTCCTCCATGGAAGTGGTTGCACATTTCTGGCACACACTCTTCAACTGCTTCATTGAGAATCAGAGAGACTTAAAACTCTTACTTCTCCCACATAGAGAAAAAAACCCAAACATTGAGGTAATCAAACTCAAAAAAAATTACACAGAAATTCTGAAAATTCTTTTTACATCTGCTACCTTGCTCACTTACCTTACAGACACTTGTACTTGACCTGTGTCTAAGTTACAGTGCAAGTAACTTCAGGTAAACACCATACCTGTCATTATGCCCATGGAAAAACTGCAGCACACTATAGCAGAGTTGTAATGCCATTTGTGAAATATCCCTCTCCTTTCTTAACTTTAAATTGTTCATTCCATTTCCAAATTGTTTTGCTCTTCCTATTCAGATTAAGTCCAAACAGTATACATCATCAAGGACTGGGAATAAGTTGTTCAATGTATGATCAATTCTGGCTGGTTCAAAGGAAAGTGTAAAAGCAGATGGAAGTATTAAAAGAAGATTCACTGACCAAGTATTTCATTATTGTCATTGCAACTACAGAGTGATGCCTCATGCCATTAAAAGAGGCAGATTATGTACAGGGCATAGATAAGAAATGTCAAGAAACAGTTAAGCAAGAATACATAGGGAATCACATCTTCATACTGTCTGCAGACAGACATTATTTCTTCTAAATTATTTCTAGAGATTTGGAATGAATCTGCCTTACTTAAACCACATGCCCCAGAATGTGCTTTCCTTCAAAACATTTGTGCAGATGGGATGATGAAAAACCATCTTTCTGCACTGGATACTGTAATGACATAAGTCATACATGATATTGTTGTCAACAATAAAGTGATGTTAGCAACACCACTCATTACAGCTGCAATGCGTCACACACAGTTTAAGGCAAAGGTATAATTCAAGCAACTTGATGTAACTATCTTAACTGTTTTTACCTCCTCCCTTCAGTTAGTAAGGAGTTCCTAAGATGGATGGGAACAACCACCCTTGGAAATTATCCATATTACCGTGCAATGCACATTCCTCAACTTAAAGCAAAACCTTTTTCACCTGTGCAAACCAGAACTCCCTTTTAAATTTTACCATTTTTTAAAGCCTTTCAGTAGCGATACAGTAAGAGCACATTTCCATTCTCAGTTTGGGCTTGGGCAATCCTGTAGCTCCAATTCACCGGCACAGGCCAGACTTGTTCAACCAGATATGCTGAACCACAAGAGACAAAGAAACTTTTTAAGTATGTGTGTGTGCTCTCAAGCATCTGATCAAGGTGTGTGATTTTGTTTCATGTTGCTGCACACACTAAACAAACACCAAAAGACTATTCTTTAATAGTACTTGAGTATAATTTTTTCAAAAGGTTGTGACAACCTTTCCAGTAATCAACAGGTATCAAGTACTTAAAGCTCAAAATAAAGTCCTAAGTATTTTAAGAGTTATCAGCTCCCTTTGTGTCTTCCTCACTTTCTTAAAGATAAACTAGCAATGCAAGACTAATCCAGCCTTAATTTCACATCATTAGTCAATATTCACATTCTTCACATGTCTTTCTGTAATTCCATGTCATTCGCAAAAGCATTTCTCTATTGTCAGTCAGCTGTTGTTAGTCCATTATAAAGTTAGCAACCATTGCTACAGAATATGCCTAAAAATCTTCCAAATTTCTATTAACTTAGTAGTGAATAAACCGGGCATACCTTGATATAGTAACAACTCAACAGGTTAATGAGTAACAGCAGCAGGTAGCAGAGGAATAATAGAAATCAGGGAGGATGAAAGAAGGAGCCCACAAGACACACACTTAACCTAGTTCTACACTGATAACATAAAAAACCATTTTTCTAATTAGAAGCAACCTGGAGGTCCAGTAAGCTCATTCCACATACCAAGTACCAGTTCACTCAAGCTTACCTGAAAATTGACTTATATGGAAAGTCTCACCCCTACAGACAGAACTGTTTGGTAGAGCTTGACTCAAAGAAGTTCTGTGAACTAAACTATGTCTGTGATTAGAATTCAGAGACCAGACACACTGGCGTATCACTAAGGCTACCTGGTGGAAGTAGCTTACTGTAGAAATTTGTATTTAAAAAAAAAAACACTAAAAGGAAGGAAAATACTTATAAAGTATGAAACTCAAGGAGATTAATAACATGCAGAGATGCAAAAGCATAAAAGCCTACAAGGAAAGCAAGTGCACCTGCTGGGAATCTAACTGGGAAGGAAAAGCACAGAGTCTAAGCTCTGGATATTGGCTATAAAGATGAAGAGACACAGCAGACAAATATTTTTCACACATTGGGTATTCTTACCTTTAAAAATATAGAAATATTTTTATACCAACAGGCCAACATAAAAATATAGGCCAGCTGAGGGAGCACATGGAAAGGGACAGGGAAACTAGCAACAAAATGGAATAATCATGGCACAGCCAGTGATATAGACTACCAGGAGCTCTCATTCTGCTGCCAAATGCTGCATCTAATCCACTACAGGAGCCCATAATTACCTTGATCTACATTCTACATCACATACACACAAGATACGTTACTTACCTTTAGGTCCATTCTCCAAAGGATGATAAACAAGACAAAAGATTAACAGCAGTCGTGGAACCTGCCTTCAGTCTTGCTCTCGCACATCCCAGTGACACATTATGTAACTTGGCACCAATAAAGGAACACAAAAAACAATCAACCACCCAAGCAGGAACCAGATGAATAAATCCACATCTACTCATGAACTAAAAGACAACAAGCTTCACATCTAAACTCCTTACAGACTCCTGTGCCTGCATGATCTGAAGTAAAGAAAGCCTACCAGTCAGAGGATGATACTCATTGACACAGCTCAAGAATTAAAGATAACACAAGAAGAAAAAAAGCAGACCTGCAAACCTGCTATTATTCCTTCTTTAGTTATTATTAAATAGTTCCAGGATTTGCAAAGATCCTTCTGTTTATTTCTCCCGTGCAATTTAATCCATTAAAAACAAAACAAACACAAACATTACAGAAACAGATGACCCATACTAAAAATTCTGGAAACACAGAGCACTTGTCATGGTTTGCAGTCCATTCCAGAACATGACCAGAAGAAGTAACTATTGCTTCCTTAATTCTTAATCTTCGGTGAACATATACATTTTCTAGCCAGCTGGCCAGCAGAACAATCAGTGCCTAATTTTAAGGAATAAATCAGCAATAAAAGAAATTATAATCAGTATAAAAGAAAAAAAAAGTACAAGGAAATAGAAACCTACATAGCTTTTGCTGTTTATCATAACTTTGCAACCAAGTATAAAGTTCCCATCCAACAGGTATGGGCATCTCAATTTTCTTTGGTCATCTCATAAAGGTTCTGAATATTTTGGTCAGTCTAGGGGAAGTAGGGGTTGCCAGGAGAAGACATCTTCAGTCTCACAGCTCATGACTGAAGTTCTTGATTATACAAAATATGGGTCAGCAGAGGAAGGAGGACATTTATGTTCCCCTCTTCCTTCCTGCAACTATTAAATTTCCACAGTGGAAGTAAGCCAGCACCTGTCAGCCTGGCTGAATTCATGACAATGAAGTTTTTGATGCTAACATGGGGTAAACCAGACTTCTGTGAGATTCATACCATACTTCAGCCCTACACGTGACTGTGACGCTACATGTATCATTCTTGTCTTCCTTCGCTGTCCTCACAGGAATATGCACAAAGATGAAGCAAAACTGAAAGGCAACAAACAGCTGCAGAGCAATCATTTGCACATGCAGTCTCTGAAACTCTCCCTCCAGAGAGAGTCTGTCTCTTCTAGAGCACTAGAAGAATGTTCTCTTCCAGCACTCTACTGTTTATTTTGGACTCCACTTTTATCATGAAACTTAAGAGAGTTCCAGCTTTGTATTTCACAAACCTGACTACCCAAAATGCAGGGCCTCATCCAATACCTAATGGAGAGACACTGCCCCTCTATTCTAAGAGTTAAGGCAGGGCAAATCAAAACACCATAAGCAAACATCACCTGTCAGCTGGTTACATGAGAGCTTCTGCACACAGAGGTATCAGTGGCCACCTGTCACTTTATCAGTGACAATCAAGCCACATGCAACCTAGAAATACCCAGTCTAGTCCATTAACTCTAGGTTGCACAGGATTCCCAACAGAGCCTCTTACAGAAGTCCATGTCTTCCAGTCCAGGTCACGGAAACCTCAGTTCAACCTCAGCCAGCCCTTCACCTGACCAGCTCCTAATGTGCTCCACGAGTGGCACAAGGTGTAACGGCCCAGGAAATGCGGCACAGAGAGCATCAGCTGCCTGCCCCAAATTCACTCTGCAGAACTGAGCGCTGCCTTTGGGCAGAGGTCACCAAGACACCAAGGGTCCCAGGAGAGCAGCACGCTGCTGCAGGACAGACCCAGAGGGGAAGACTTGTTAGTGCCACCAGCAGCTCTCAGCAGAAGCCCTCCCACACCAGCTTCGCACCGGGCAGCACTCACCGCAGGGACACCCACCCAGCACTTTGGGAACAGCTTTCCAGCGCACCCGGAGCATCCCCCTCCCGGCACTGCCTCCCCCTCGGGACAAGAGCGGGCGGGAAGGGCGGCCTCTCACCTGGAGGAGCACGGCCAGCAGGACGCACAGGTACACCTGATAGGGGCCCATCTGCCCCACCAGCGGGAACGCCTCCTCCACCTCCATCCCGCTCCCCGCCCGCCGCGCAGCTCCTACGAGCGGCCGCCGAGCAGCGCATTCCCGGGGCGGGGCGGGGCGCGGAGCGGCGGCCGGGCCCTCGCGGAGCTGGAGCAGAAGGAGCGGGAGGAGGAGGAGGAGGAGGAGGGAGGAGAGGAGGGAAGGGCGGGAGGCGCGATGCGGCGCTCATGCGCAGGCTCGGGGAGAGCAGCGGGGCTGCGGCCGCCTCCCTCCCTCCCTCCTCGCCGGGCGGCCGGCGGGAAGCGGCAGCGCGCGGGCGCAGCGCAGGCGCACGGGCCGGGCTCGGCGGGTCGGGCCGGGGGCCTTGGGGCCGGGGCGGGCCGGCGGCTGCGCTGGAGCGCCGGCACGGGGAGCGGGCTCGGCACTGAGGGGATGTGCCTCCGGGGGCCTCACCTGGGCACGGCTCTTGGGAACGGGAGGTGCTGGCACCTCTTGGCGAGGAGGCTGCGCTGGGTCCGTGCTGGCGCGGTGCTCCCGGCTGATGGCATTGTCCGTGCGGCGGCTGGGCTCCCACCGGCCGGTCTGGTCCAGCAAAGCACAGCGGAGTCACAGTGTGCGCTCAGCCGGTTTGCTCCGTGGGAAGCTGTACCCACAGAGTGCGCGCTGCTTAAGTTCCGTCAGTTCGCAAAATGCTGACACACATCCGCTGTGGAATATTGTGTGATGATACTTCATAGCCTACCTGCCGATAGTTGGAAAAGAAAACAAACCGAAACTGACATAAGGTTATTGTGTAGGTGCCACTAGAGGTCAGTTCGGCACCCACACAAATCTTACTGTTCCTGATTTAAATGCCTGGTGAGGACTTGCCTCTCTCCATTACACCATTTCCACAAAACTGTAGTTGTAGTGTATTTCATGAAAAGAATTTTATGGGGCAGAAGTTCTCACTTAGAAGTAATGGGAGTGGTTTGGGAAGGAGCATGAACTCTACTGCATAGAGAAGGGAAGGGAGATAAATGCAAGTGAAATAGGCATCTTGCAAAATGACAATGAGCTTTTCATGGTCCATTTTCATTACACCTTTACAATAAAGCTCCAGGAACATGAAACAACTTATACTGTTGAGACGTTTTTTATCTAGTGGTACCGAGAAGCAGCAGCAACATCTTGTGTTTGTAGCTTTTATTGTAAGAACAATAGAAAGGAAGAGAGTTGTTGTGAGTTGTGACCTTTAGGACCATGCCGGGAGCCTGGGAAATAATACCATTTCTGTGCTGAAAAGATCTTGGCAAATCGACAATCATCAAAGCAATTTACCCTTAAAATGAAATTCACCTTTGCCCTAAGTACTTCTTTTCATATTTGAGGCTTAGTACAGATTGATTAAACACAAAACAGCAAAGGATTTCTGAAATGTCAGGACCTTTCTGCTGTTCACTCAACTGCACTTGTCTCATTTTATTGCTCAGCTAAAATGTGGAGGACATGTCCTTGTGTTTAGGAGCTCTGCAGTCATCTCCCCTGCATCCTTCCCGCTCTCGCCAGTTCAGCCACACTTCCTGGCAGCCACAGCTTTACTCCAGCTTGTCCAGTAACGGGGAGCTTTGCCATCAACACCCAGCTCCTCCCTGACTCTTGAGCCAAGGTGAACAGACCCTAGGGAAGGAGGTGGTACGCATCTCCCTGTCAGGATTGTACTGCCCCAAATTGCTGTGTGCACCCTGCATTCCCCAGGCACTTCTCATCTCTGTCTCACCTGGGGCCTCCAGCACTCCTGCCTGGGGGTTTTCCTCCCTATGCTCCCTGCTTGCTTACAGCCACCCAAGCTCCAGGCTCTGCCTGCCATAGGGGCAGCAATTAAGAATTGTCAGCTTTTTGTATTCACCTCCATGGGGTGCTGCCTTCCAGATGATGCTTCTGCTCTACTCCTGCCACGCCTCTGCTGAGATAACACCTCTGATTCAGCTTTCAGTCCCGACCATAGAGAAGTTACAGCATTGGCTTTACACGTACTAACACCTTGCAACAATGTCCTGTGCCTAGGGAAAACAGCTGTTGGGGAGCTGTCTCTTCTTGTGCTGCTGCTTCCCAAATTGAGTCCAGCAAAGAGCCATGTAGGTGATTAAGGAACTGGAGTATCTGTCATGAGAGGAAAAGCTGAGAGCTGGAACTGTCTAGCCTAAAGCTAAGAAGGCTTAGGGAAGAACTTCACAATGAGTGTAAATAACTGGATGGAAAGGAATGAAGAGGAGAAGCCCAGGCTCTTCTCAGTGCTGCCTTCCAATAGGACAAGAGGCAGTGGTGACAAGTTATACCCACTGGCAATGAAAGGCCACTGTCCCATGAGGCCAGTGGTTTTGGAGAGGATTGGATGCAATGTTTAGAGGTTTCAGTCAACAATAGCACTGCACTTCACTTAGCCAGTGATATGGCCTTGCTGGAGCCCTGAGATCATCCCAGAGAATTATTCTCTGTGAAGTTCATTAATGTACAATTTGCTCCCTCCTCCTCCTCATTAATAACCATGTCAAATAAGAATACTCTTAATAATCCTGTCTGTGGGGAATTTTTCTTTTAATGAGAGCACATCAGGCATCTTAGTCATAGATGTAGTGCCTCATAGGTTTTTCCACATCGCTCCCAAACCTCTCTCTGTTACTACTGCTTCATGGGTTTGTTGCCATTAGAGACTTACACATCAAATTCATCTGGGCAACCCAAAACTGAGACAGCTGTGTGGCTTCTTTTTCACCCTTTCTGAAATAATAGTTCCAGTTACATTCTGCCCTGTTCTGTCTCTATGTAATGATGACCCAGAGCATTGAAAGCACTAGATATATGTAAATACAAAGGGATAACCCCAAGCTATGTTCCTCTCTGGGAATCAAACAAATAACCAAAAATTTAAAAAAAAAATCAGATATCTTAAAGTTTTAGCACTAAAAACTCATTCTGATTCACTGATGTTCTGTTACCAGATTTGCTATATTCATTTGTAGTAGATTATGATAGCGGCCAGTAATTTTTCTTTGGAAACACATGCAATGGTAGTTTTAAAAAAGACCTTGAAAGAACTTTTGATTTTCCTATCTTCTGGCTGGGGATTGCTTACCCATTCAAAGGTGTCGACACAAATTGTTCATTCAGCAGTTGGCACAGATGAGACCTAAAGGAGTTCTGTTCCTGATGGAGGAAGTTTCAGGTCATCCATGAATGGATAGTGTGAGTTAGATATTAAACTCTGTAGCCAGGCTGCTGTAGATGACAGCAGATAAGTGGGTTCCAGTGAAGGATCAACAAGTACCAAAAAGTACAAAATTCCTCTGCGGTTTATCTAAAAAAGAAAACACCTCTGTCTCTCAAAAGCCCCCCGGAGACAAATTGTTCAAAGCTGATATCTGAAGGAAATATTTACCTTCTCTTGTGATACCCCTGTCTAGACATTAATTTTTGGCCACAGCAGGAGATGGCATTTGGGGCAGAAAGGACATTTGCAGTCCTGTTGCCACTTTTGCAATCTTGCACTTCATCAGGTTCCCATCTCCTTGTGACCCCCACCCCCTAGCTCATGGGAGGTTTCTGCCACATCAGTTGTGTTGAATGCTGAACACTGAATGGCAAAAGACTGAAGTCTGACTGTGGCAGTGAGAATGGCAGCTGTGGGAAGAGTGGTGGAAATCTCTTCCACAAGAATATGAAAGGGTTGTAGTTCATAAAACCTGTTACTATTAAAAAACCCCAGAGCTAAGAAGGAGTCCCTCCTTTAGGATGAAAATAAAGCAGAGGTTCTCTTGATCTCTTAACTTCATCTGGTCCACAGCACGATGACAGGAGCAGTTAGAGGGTTGACAGTATCTGCCAGAATGCTTGCCTTTGCTGGCCCCCTGTTATGGAAAATGAAGATTTTTTCCAACCAGACTAATCAGCTGCTCGTTGCAGCTGGCTTACCCCATAATACTATGCAAAGCTAGCATATGGCTCATTACAATATACCCTGACTAAGTGTGCAGCCAAACAATCCACCAAGGCATTTTTGCTTCTCTGATGTGTTGTTTGCACTTTTTGCAAACAAAGCAACAAACAATTCCTTTGGAGGCACTTTTCAATTTTAGATGAGGCTTGGGGGATACTGAATTTCTCTCTGAACTGTGAATGATGTTAAAAGCTGATTCCCTGTCCCTTCCTAGATGGACAGTTTTCTATTGCAAAACAGATCCAGTTCCTGAAAAATCTGAACTTGCTCACATATCATGTATCTCTGCAGTGGATAGTTGCTCTCAGGATATTTCCCCTGGTCACACACCAAAGTGCACATCTGTGACCAACACCTTCTTGACCAGCAGCCTCTGTAATCCTCGCAATCCTGCTCAGTTTCCCATCACTTAGACATTGCCCACAGTGTCCATCCTGGGCACTGTGGGAGCTCTGCTTTCATCACAAACACTGATAGGGGTTTCAGATTAAGCAAAGGAGTTTATGAAGCACAACTCTGTGCTTAAATGTACTAAAATCTTAGACATTAGAAAAAAAATAGAAAAAACATGGTAATCTTAAGAAGCAGGATTGGCCTCTGTGACCTCCCAGCAGTGACTGGGACAGAGATAACAATGTTGAACATAAAGGTGAATGCTTGTACCTCTAAATGGCTCTCTTGAACAGTTGAGCCACACTGCCTTTGAGAGA